GAACAGTTTAAAGTGTCATTCAATAAAGTGCAGAAAATCGCATGGATTGGCCTACTATTAGAACAACTTTTGACTCTAATAATATTTGCAAAGTTATACCTAATCCCAGTCATTATCTGAGACCGCAACACCACCTATACCTGCTGCTCTGTCACACAATCATTTCAGTGTCTTTCTTCTAGTCAGACTCATTTAGGACATGCCCGAAATCTATTCGTCTGGGTTGCTTTTCAGAATGCACGCACCACTTCCTCTATATCACCGTTCCGCAACCTGTGGGTCGCGACCCAATGTTTGGTTCGCGGAAAAATTTTGATGGGTCGCATAATCTCTTCAGATCGTGAAAACTTTACTTAATACGAATGAGGACAAACAAAATCAAATTACAGTAAGTGCAATTAAAGTGTGGCATGAGCGTCAGTTTACTTTTGAAATGCGTGCGTTAATCATAGTTTCATGTTAAAAATAAACTATAAAGCATTTGTACGTCAGGTATGACAACTTGAAAGTTTTAGTTTTGTTAATTTCAGTGTTTGGCTTTCAGCTGAAGATTATAACATTTTTCAATTTAATGTGTCTATGTCGTCGCATAACCCATAAACATCTGGCAGCAAGTTAAGGAATTTATAATAAAATGTCTGTAAATCATTAATTTAAAAAAAAAAAAATCTTGAACTTTATTGAAAAATTTGATAACTCAGTGGTTTGGTTAAATGAGTAATTCAAAGTAATGTTGTCATTCTTAGACGTCTTAAATTGATGTTGTGGGTGATAGTAAGTAAGGTTGCCTAGCGCGCTACATGTCGACTGAAATCTAAAAGGTTTTCATTTGTAGTCAACAGGTATAGTTGACTACGTTGACACGCATGACTAGTCGACGTGAACCAGGTCCACGTCCACACAATCTAAAAGTCCTATTATTAGACTCTGCCAGGGATACCGATGGGGCCGGGTTGAATTAAGTCACTTTTTGATTGAAGGAAATGGTTTGATTGATTTTATAGTATTACTCGATGAAAAGGTCATATGAACATCATAATTTATGTTAAAAATTGTCATTGTCACTTTTACGGCTTTAGCGTGTTTTAAGGTGCTTCGCACTTTTGGTACAATACTGCAGCTATACTTCGTCCTGCCTCGCATGAATTGCACTTGAATTCGTCACGAGGGTAGATGGCTTTCATGAATCGCATGCCTCGCTGACTCGCAGTTTGTCAATACCCGGAATGTTCCCTGAATAGTGGTTGGCCGATTGTTAACAGATATTCTTTCTTTCATTTCGTGCCCGAAAAAGTGTCCTCTTAATGAGGGTTTTCCAAAGGAGGGGGTTCTACTGTATCAAACAGTCCACATGAAAATAGGCCAAATTTTAGAAATATTTGTTCAAAAAGCATTTATATGTATCCTGCTGCCACCCACGGGTTTTTAGACAGTGGTGGTCTAGTCATGAAGAAAACCTCAAAGCTCTAAGTACTAACAGTACCGTACTGTGATCCTACAGTCAGATGTGAGGACTAAGCTGTCTTCCAGGGTTGAGCATCTCATTAAATCATCCGTGTTCAGATGGTACTACTCTAAATATATTAAAACTAAATTCAAAATAAATATTTTTAATTTTGTTATTTAAAGCTCTAAGTCTATATATATATATATATATATATATAAGTTATATATATATATATAAATTGCTGCCGAATTGACAGACTGGGAACGTTCATTCCTTGGTGAAAAACATTATATAGGCACTGGTACCTATGAACAGTTTAAAGTGTCATTCAATAAAGTGCAGAAAATCGCATGGATTGGCCTACTATTAGAACAACTTTTGTGACTCTAATAATATTTGCAAAGTTATACCTAATCCCAGTCATTATCTGAGACCGCAAAGCCACCTATACCTGCTCTGTCACACAATCATTTCAGTGTCTTTCTTCTAGTCAGATTCCGTTAGGACATGCCCGAAATCTATTCGTCTGGGTTGCTTTTCAGAATGCACGCACCACTTCCTCTACATCACCGTTCCGCAACCTATGGGTCACGACCCAATGTTTGGTTCGCGGAAAAATTTTGATGGGTCGCATAATCTCTTCAGATCGTGAAAACTTTACTTAATACGAATGAGGACAAACAAAATCAAATTACAGTAAGTGCAATTAAAGTGTGGCATGAGCGTCAGTTTACTTTTGAAATGCGTGCGTTAATCATAGTTTCATGTTAAAAATAAACTATAAAGCATTTGTACGTCAGGTATGACAACTTGAAAGTTTTAGTTTTGTTAATTTCAGTGTTTGGCTTTCAGCTGAAGATTATAACCAAGAAAACATTTTTCAATTTAATGTGTCTATGTCGTCGCATAACCCATAAACATCTGGCAGCAAGTTAAGGAATTTATAATAAAATGTCTGTAAATCATTAATTTAAAAAAAAAAAAATCTTGAACTTTATTGAAAAATTTGATAACTCAGTGGTTTGGTTAAATGAGTAATTCAAAGTAATGTTGTCATTCTTAGACGTCTTAAATTGATGTTGTGGGTGATAGTATCTTTTAATTGACAGCAAAAAGAATCAAGTGGGTGATTCCTCTGATACCCGCTATCCATCGAGCGTATAAATCGACGGACGTGATAATTATTGGCTTCGGGTTCGATGGGTGGCGTCTGACTGCTTGATATATCATTTGGGTCGACGTGAGCTACAAAGGCTGCGGAACGGGCCTCTACAACCTTCTTCTCGTATTTCTTCGTAAGAAATAAGAGGAAAATCAAATTCTACCTTTTGGGTTTTGAACCCGTGACCTGCGTCATACGGTTCTGAATCTCAAATGGATGGGGTCAAGTGGGACTAGAGCCATATCCCATATATCGGTATAACGATGATATAATAAAAAAAGGGAAATTGAACCCATTCGGGATTTGAACCCGATCCCTCCGACATACCATATTGATGATCTGACCGACAGGGGGCCTAGTAGAATTAGATCATATTCCCATCGTCGGACATACAATTAGGCAATCCGATATACGAGAAATATAAAATTGGACCCCTTATGGATTTGGACCCGACACCCTCCAATCCCACTAGATTTTGGGCGCGGTCCATTGGGGTTGGAGCCGTTCCATCGATGTAAAGATGATACAATACGAAACAGGGTGAAATATCAAATTCGATCCCCGAGAAAAATGAGAATTTTATTAAAAATCTATTGATAACATGGATCGCGTTTTATTACAAAGTGCGACAGAGTTTATTATAAAGTGCGACAGCTCATTTTATTACAAAGTGCGACAGACAGTTATTACAAATGCGACATCTCAGTTATTACAAAGTGCGACAGACTTTATTACAAAGTGCGACAGTTATTACAAAGTGCGGCGAATATTACAAAGTGCGACGCAACATTCGTGTGCACTAAGGAACCCAGTACATCCTTCGAGACGAGTAGGGGACCCCGGTGTGGCACAGACAGCCCCTGTGGTGGACGAGGAGAGTTGCTAGTACCGTAGCACAGCCACGAAGGGTGACCCTTAGGGGCGAAGAAAGTCATTGATCGAGTTCCTAGTCCACATATCAAGCGTCCTGAACATCTTATGTTAGATGGATATGGCGCTATATAAAACTACACTATTATTATCATTATTATTATTATTATTATTATTAATCTTGTAGCTTTTCTAAAACACGTAAATCAAAACGAAAGACTGCCCATTTTATCTATGGATTAAAGTTTCACTCAATTGATGTCGCATCACGTGACGTACTGGTAATTCAGGCGACTGTAGCATCACATCTAGACTGGGTTCCAGTCCCTAATCTTTGTCTTAATCAGTGAAAATGCTTAAAAATAAATCGATTTTGGCACCATTGGCGTTCTATATCCGTTATTTTCATGGCGTTCCATAGTATACTTTTTCTGGGATCCATTCCGGTAGTTGCTAAATAAAAATGTAATAAAATCTTAACTTCAGCAGTTACCGGTAGGCCTATGTTGTAATAGAAGTTGTGATTTTAATTTATTAGGCCCATTTTCTCTTCCGTAAGATAATTTGTTCATGGGATTAGGTTGGAAAATCCACAGACTAAGTACAGTATTGTAGTACTAGTAGTATAGGCCATTGAATAGTTTTTATTTCTTTCTGTGATTACGGCCTAATCCCTACCGCTAAAATAAGACTAACTAGGCTTATGTATTATTTCACTCAGTGTAGCCTAGACCCCATAGATTGATAATGTTCCAGGGATCCTAATTGTGGAAAGAAATTACACAGGAACAACTTACTTTTTCTTTCATTGCTTGTACCATGACGTTACTGTGTTTTGCTATGCTGTGTGATAAAAAAAAAAGACAGGGCCTACTCTATGTCGAGGACGAACTATAACTGAAAGACGAACTAAAGCTGACATTTTGCATGACGTCAACATACGAAGCCACGCCCCTCGGCTGAACCCGTTGTTACCATCAAAGGGTATGTTCAGACTCACGGAATAAGAGTAGCGTTATGTAAGCGGCATACAAATTTTCGTGTCTGAACTAGACCGCGGAATAGTGTAAGCCAGCTGTTACGCCACGCGCCCTTCCTTTTCCACTAATGGAGGAAATCTTTTTCACTAAGAGTGCGTCCGGCCATGCGATTCTGCGCTGTATTGTTGTTTTATTCTTTACTGATTCATGATTATGCTTTAATTGTTTTGTGTATTATTTGGATAATAGCAACGATCTATCGCCACCAAGGAGGTTATGTATTCACCGATGTCACTGTCTGGGTGTCTATTCCAGTTTGTTTAATATATCTAGTATCTTTGTTGGGAATTGATAATAAAATACGCGACGACTTGGTAACGAAAGTTTGGCACAAGTTTTTTTAGATCCAGCTGTAGGGGGCGTCCCATTTTTTGTATTCCCACCATGCATTTCGGTGGAACGCGGTGGAACACTTTTTTTGTGTGGAGAACTCTATCTTGTATTTCTAGTATCTTTGTTACCATTAATAATTTCATCAAAAAGTTTCCCGACATAAACTGACGCTGGTGGCGCTTTCCGAAATGTAATATTACGGAAAAATCAATAAATTAGAGACTTGTGGCAAGTCTACATCACATCTATCAATGCCAGGATCAAGTTTCAATGACAAACCATAGGTTCCCGGTATAAAGCTATCAGTCCGGTCAACTCCCTGGCAGAGTGTACAGTGGTCGCACAAGCATTGAGTATCGATGAAATTATTGTCTAAATTAAATTCGTAACCAGGCATGGGGGACACAACATCGAAGCAGGGCGATTACCAAATACTCGTGAAAACCTCGGACAGAAGAGGAGCAAGCACCGATGCTAACATATATATTGCCTTGTTTAACAGTGATGGACACCGATCCAAAGATTATAAACTGGACACTAGGTTTCGCGATGATTTCGAAGAGGGCCAGCAGGATATGTTTCCAATAAATTTGAAAGACTTTGGAGAAATAGTGAAAATCGAAGTATGGCGAGATCGTCGTATTATTGGCAACCACGATTGGTGCGTTGAATGGATCATAATTCGAGATAATGTAAGGGAGGACATATATGAATTCCCAATTAACAGATGGATTACAGCTGGTGTAAGGAAAAGGTGAGAATGAATGTTACCTTCCATAATAATAATGTAAATTAATATTAAACATACACTAAAGTTACATAAGTAAATCTTTGTACGGTGGATGACGACAGTCAACCACCGAGTATGGAGCGGTATGAAACGCAGACATAATGAGCCTTGTCACTGTGTAATCCATTATATTCATTAACAGTATTAGCCTACCCTATAATATGCTATGTACAGTACTAATGTTTTGTTACCAATCTTCGATGTTATATTCTTATTTTTCTGACAAATTTTCATTTCTACAAAATTTAATAGCATCCCAGCCTCTCTCACTACTAAAATTCCATCGACAAAAATCCTGTCAAATTAATTCAAATTTTTTAAAAATAATCACAAGTCTTTTAAATAAAATTGATATTTTATGATAGTGAAGAAAGTCTTGTCAGAGACAGTGTCGGTGTTAGGCAATAAGACACATCTATGGCGACAGATTAGGCAGCGCATACAGCCTACCAGCCACAATCAGACGTTGCTCGCTGTAAAACGAATTGCATACGATAGTTTATTTTATAGAGACTCTTCAAAACACCCATATGGGAGAGGGGAGGATATGCAATTTACTGCCACTGACCCCAGTCACGATATTTTCTGAGTGAGTCCTCGCATTCCAATGTCCATTAGATGAAGATAACTTCAAAACATTTACTCAAGTAGACTCTGATGACCAACACATTGCAGCATTAAAGTGTGATAAAATTTATAGGCGAGAAAAACATAGGTTTTATCCCAATGGTATCTGTAAACCTTAGTACCGGTACTATACCAGCAAATAATCAGTTGAATAATCAAAAAGCAAGACAGTGACGGGGGTCATAGACCTGTCACGCCAAAATACCTGTCACGCAAAAATTGGTCCGGGCCAAAAAAGGTCCGGCGGACAGAATTTGACCGCCAAAGTCGGTCCGCCGGACTACTTTTGGTCGCTAAAATCGATCCACCGGAACGCAAGTCTGATTTATTCGTTTTAAATATTCCATATTATTGTGTGTGGGGTACTATTATCATTATTGTCATTATTATTATTATTATTATTATTATTATTATTATTATTATTATTATTATTATTATTATTATTATTATTAATTATAGTTGTTTTATTACATGAAAATAAAGGGGTCAGTAATTTCTATGAAATGATGATTGCTCATGTATTTCGTCGTGGCGTTAAGCGAGCACACAGCTAAAACAAAACAAAGTAAAAAATAAAGTAAAGCAGACCAATCCGATTTACGATCATATTCTTTTAACTTCTTTTTCTAACTTTTACACTAAAGAGTGGGAGCGAAGAGCGAAAACAACATACTAATTTTTGTACCTGTATACTCAATTGCACACACAACGGATGAAAAAATATATATAATAAGAGATGAAATATTTATCATCAGGGGCCTACTTGATAAAAAAACAAATCGCTAAAAAAGTGCCGGTTATAACTACTAAATAGATACCGGACCAATTTTGGTTTATGTGGACTACAGGTAATTTTAAAGCCAAAGTCGGTTCGGCCGACCGATTTTGGCCCCGGACCAATTTTTTCCTGACAGGCCTATTTCTAATTCTCTTCAAACTACATCCTTTAGAAATTCAGAGTTTTGTTTATATTACCGCTTCTTTAACTTAGTTTATTATTCTGTGATTAAAAGAAAATAAAGGCCTAGTTTCCAATTTCGAGGCTATTTCACCAATTACTGTGACCATGCTGTAACCAATATGCCCGAAGAAGGTTGGCAATAAAAACAAACTTCTTCGGATACATTTTCTGCTAATTATATGCCTCCTTCTATATACTTAAATACTAAATGTTAATTTTAGATATTGAACATTCTACCGTAAATTTGCGTGTTGTCCACCATAAGTTATCCGTATCATAGAGTAACAGAGTTAAAATTACTATTCATTCATACATTCATTCATTTTGACCTTAATTGCAAGTTTAAAAACAAGATACACGAGTAAAAGAAGTTAAAAAATTGTTTAAGAGCAATAAAACACAGTTAATTAAGATGTATACAAGGCGATTAATTAATACTTTTCGTGTAGGCTTCTCACAACTTTTTCCAGCTCGGTAGTGAAATTACACATTGTTGAAGATATAATTGGGAAATTACTATTGAAGGCTCACATTTGTCAACCTGTGTTATTTGTATTACGTGGCCTTCCTCATTTTGCAGAAAAAAATCCTGTCATTGATATTCAGTTTTAAATTTTATTTACTGTATTTATTTAGAAACACAGCACATGCACCAAGGATTGTCAATAGCGAATAATATCCCTGTCCTACTTGTAGGTGAAAATGCCTTTTGACAAACAAGCAAATACGACTCTTTACACAAATAATCTCAATATGAGGTTTAGGGAGTGGAGTTATTTTGGGCGTGAGAACAAATTCCGCAAAAACTGACTGGAATTGAACCCAGAGGGGCCTGTGGTGGGATTGCAAGGCACATCGATTCCATATTTATGAACCACGAGAACCTAATTTACGTGAAAAATAGACGTCTAGAAGCTCTAATCCACGGCAGGAGCGTGCCCATCTTCCTTATCATGGCTTACAATCTCTAATGATTAAGTCCTAGATTCGCATTAAACATTTTCTTAGGAACACTACCCTTTCTTGACTTGTGATGATAATTCTTTCAAGATGTTTTTTTTTTTTTTTTTGGTTTTTAGAAATTGTAATTATCTAATCGCAAGTGAAGGTCAACCAATCCGTTCATCTCTCTTTCGGGATTATTTCCATCAAAAGTGGATTTGGCTTAGGCCTTTCGTTTTGATATTTACACTATAGTTATAGAGCCCAGATAGTTAAAGGACAAAGGATTGATCATGCTTATTTTATACACATAGAAATGATTGAAAATAATCACTCCTCTCTGATTGGAGTCAAGAAAACTATAGATTCTTTTAAACTGACTACTAAGCAAGGATTTAATCTGATCTTAATGTCAAATAATAATAGGATTTCTGTGTTTTTCTAGATTGTCTTTGTGAACTTTTGTTGTTTTTTTCTTCTTTTTTTTTCAAATAGGAAATTCCATCAAGTGTTGTACATTAAGAATAAATATAAATATATAGTTTCCTATTCATAAGCATTGGTGTACTCGTTACGGCGATATATATATATATATATACGTTATGTACTGTCAGGAAACGAACATAGATAGACCTGCATTAGTTGTGCAGTGGTGCACGTTCGGTATATACTTTATACGGTATATACGGTAGTGTTTTAATATCATCATGCGGCGATTTAGATTTAATGGCCTAGGCCTAAATACATAATATTTTATCGATTTTTCTCCTAACATTTTAAGGTGGTCAAGATACGATACCTGTCTCCCTCAAAATGATTCAGAGTGCACTCAGAGAAAGAAAGAACTCGAAATGAAGAGGTTGGAATATGTATTTGAACAAAAAATCACTGGTTTACCAGCACAGGTCAGTCAGTTTAACAATGCTATTGTTGTTGTTGTTGTTGTTGTACATCTAGATGTGTATAAGATACGTACAATGCTAGATCTGTCTCTTATACACATCTAGATGTGTATAGAATCAACAGACGTTTACCATATAACTTTAACACAAAATTTATTGACAAAAAGGATCGACGTTTCGTGTCCATCATGGACGCATTCTCAAGATCAAGTGAACAAAAATAAATATAAGATAGTAAACCTACACTTGGTTTACTATCTTATATTTATTTTTGTTCACTTGATCTTGAGAATGCGTCCATGATGGACACGAAACGTCGATCCTTTTTGTCAATAAATTTTTTTTTATTATTATTATTATTATTATTATTATTATTATTATTTTATATAGCCATCATTTGAAATATGATATCTGGTCATCTCATAAGCCCAAGGTCTATTCGATGTTCGTGCTTTCTTACCTTATTTACATACCACACTTTACCTATTTATTTTTTTCCGGCTAAACCATTATTTGAATGTGTGCATTAATGTTTGTCCCTCAACGTTCATACCGTACCAATTTCTTACTCTAGTAACACTTTAAGTTTTTTTTTTCTTTCCTCCTAATGATAGATGGTACTGCATGTTTATTTTAATGAATTCACTATGATAGGTTGCAACGTTAATAGTCTGATCTTAGCATTTGTAATTGATTAAATTATTTTGCTAAAAATCTGAGAGTTTGGATGTGACGTCACACACATTTAAACCAATATTCTTATCCTGATCGTATGCCACATTTTTGCGCAAGAACTATTCAACATCATTACTGTGCCTTCTCTTTAATTAAAAGTAATAACAAATCCTTATCTTTATATGTTTTTTGTTACTTTTGTAGGTGAAAGTTCTACCAAAAGATGAGTCATTCACAACCGATTACTTGGTAAGTGCGTAAGCCCACTAATATAGTATCGCAAAAACGCATGATAATTATGTGATCAATATGTTAGGCATAGACTTATAATAATGTATGTTAAACTTCTAATCGCTTTATCACCCCCGGTGATTGGATCAAACACGTTTATTATAATAAATGATATAATGATTAGTATACTTTTTCATATAGAGCTCAGAGCGCTTTTCCACATTATACCCCAGTTATTGGAACGAAGCCTGGGCTGGGGAGAGAAATTATATAGTTTGCTGCATGCAATAATTACATCAGCACATTTTGTAATCGACACTCCTTGCCATTAAAATGTCGAGTCTTGCCAGCGAAATCCACAGCGAGGATTTATTAACCCGAGGCCTCAATGTGAAGAAGAAAGTAAATCACAACTGCTGCGCTAAAACCCGTTCATGCAAACATAATACAGTATTGAATTAAGGTATTCTTCTCTTCTCTCAAATTGGAGAATCTTATTCGTCTTTTTTTTATGATTTATCTGTATTAGAGTAAAAATTATTTATCCGTATTTTTTGGAAGGGGAAGCTTAGTCAGAGTAGTGGCGTAACACGCTCTCGTGCGGCGGTCCACAGGGCCCCCGACTCCTTGGGGCCCCGAAGTGCGGCCCTTACCTATAGGGTCCTCGATCTAGTATCCTGACCCATACGATGTTTATACATAACAGTATAATATCTCTCTGACATCGACTGTAGGACATATATCATATTATATCCATGAAAGGATTAAAGGGGCCCTATAAATTTGTCAAAATTTGTTTTAAATGGAAATAAAAAGAAAATTATTTTCAAATGTCTGTGAGTGACATTTTCAGCCATAATAATCATAAAATTTCTTACCTCAGCCCCACTATGGTGGGGCTGAGGTGGTATAGAATCTCCATCGTGAAAGTCTCTATCTGGCCTCCTTCTATTTAAAATTCCTACTAGATCCACCACTGATATCATATCATTTATTTCGTCGTCAAGAACATACAATGACAAAAATGATTAAAAAACACATCTAAATCGGGACCGAAAAAAGGCCCCATAGTCCCAGAAAGCCACAGGGCCGGCGGCCCCCATTCTCAGAGTCAGAGGGTGGGGTACCCCTTTGATCGTGAGCTCAGTCATCAATCGCCGCGTCATTTATTGCTGTTCACAGCGAGGATTTAATAATGATATTAACCTCTATGCGCTTTACATTAAAAGCAAAAACCGGAGAAGAATTAAAAGGAAAAATTATAAAACAGTGAAAAAAAATCTTTTGCAATCAAAACAAAAAACACTGATTCTATATGTTACTACATTATAATACATGTATGACTTCTAGTGTATTCTTTGGCAACAGTATATCATTTGTTTGAAGAAGTGTCCCGGTTGGGTTGTATCTGCGATATACCAGGGGTTCCTTGTGGTAAATATATATGGCACTCACCTTGACAGCAAGAAATCACATTTTAATTCCCGCCGCCAGGGGCACATTTTCAAACAGTTGATAAGGAACTTTTTTTTTAATTTGATAGGCTATTCCCGATACGATACTCACATCACTTTTCGTTTATTCGAGCTCTGTTTTCACAATTATTTAATTATATAATTATATAAACAGAGTGCTACACACAAAAAAATTAATTA